TTAAACCAGTGATTGCAAAACTTAAAATAAAAATTAAATTATAACTTAAATATAAATTAAACTCAAATTAAAATTTTAAATTAAACTCAAATTAAAATTAAGAATTTATTTTACTTCTGTTCAAAAAGAAATTTTTCTAAAAAATTAATTTAAGCGTATTCTTAAACTTAAGAAAGTATAAATCGATTTATTAAAGCAAATTTTTTTGTTTCAATTTTTATTGCAAAACAATTTGAATAGAAACATCAATTTAAGAATCATTTGAATGAAAAACTTAATTAAACTTAAATTTTTAATTGTACGCTAGATCAAAAATAAATTATTAAATATTTTTGACAAGCCCCCATTAAAGTTATCCATTGTATGCTCTGCCATATCAATAAATCTAATCCAAATGGCTAAAGACAGCAAAAGAGGAGGGGGGGGTGCGTTAGTATAAAGTTGTATGTTTTGTACATAATTTTTATTTTTTTAACATATTATCTCTTTTTATTTTTTTAACATATTTAAATATTATCTTATTATATTTTCTTCCTTGGCGGAGTTTAAAATGCGTAAGTTACTGTTATAATTTACAGCTTAATTTATAATTTAAAGTTTAAGTTTCAGTTATAGTGTAATGAGCAAGTAACATATGGAATACTATTAAGATATTTTTAGTAATTGTTTTTGCTTAACATGATACTTAAAAAAGTAAAAGTAAAAACTAAGTAAAGTAGTATAAAGCAAAACAATATTTAAACCACTTTACTCATAGAAAACTATTTAATACGTTCATGCTGATGATAAAACGTGTTATTTTTAAAGAGTATTTAATTGTTTTTTGTAAAAAGCTATAAAACAACAATTAAAAAACTTGGTGATGCTGTTTTGTTTTATTTTTGTACAGTTTATAATCTTTTAAAATGCATTTAAAATAAAACAAAGCAAATAAATAAAATTGTTCTAATTAATAAATTAAAAAATTGTCATAAAACTTAATATTTGCGCAAAATCATGCCTATAGACCATACGAGTCTATAATCTATAGATCAAACAAGTAAGATCAGAAAAAAAAAAGTTTGATACCATTTTTTTTATTATTTATTGTTTCTTGATCTAGAGGGCTAATAAAAGTTTGAGTATAATTTAGCTTTTCATTCAAATGGTTTTTAAGTTAATGTTTTCATACAATTTTTTTATTCAAATTGTGTTCCAATAAAAAGTGAAACTAAAAAATTTGGTTTTATAAATCGAATTAAATTTCTTTAAGTGTAAGGATATGCCTAAAAATTTAAGAATATAAGAAAAATATAAGAATAAGCTTATGCTAAGTTTAAGAATATGCTTAAAAACGTAGAAGCTAAAAAGTAGCTGGTTTCCATTAACATTAATTAACAATTAGAAAAAAAAAGAAGATAGAAACCAGGCTGTTTTGTTAAAAAAAAAAAATGAAGAAAAAATTTTCCCTTTTCAACTTTCTGCTTTAACGAAATTTTAAATAATAATTTTAAATAATATTGGCTTCCACACAGAGATTTTAAGTAAAAATGTGTTGAATGAAAATCTCAGCACGAAGAACAAATGATCATCTATGCAGAAGATAAATTTAGTGGGACATTCTACAATAGAACGTCACGCTAAACATTATGACAATAGCATTACTTTTAAGAATTGCCAAAAAAAAATTTATTAGAAAAAAAGTGAATAAACTATTACAAAAAAAAAAATTACCAAGGTATGAAAAGCAATTGTGATTTGTGATTGCCATATGCTTAATTCAAGCCCTTTATATGCCGCAATCTACAGATTTAATAATTTATTTAGTTTTTTGTTAGAAATCAATTTTTGAAACAAAAAATCTTTAAACAAAAAAAAAAAAAAAAATCTTTTTTTTTTTTAATTTTAAATAAAACAATTAAAATAAAATAGTAAAACTAAGCTGTTGTGAATATGGTAAAATTTTCGTGTCCAAATTGGAGTTTTTTGTATTGAAGAATATTTTATTTATTCATTCTTATTTTGCAATCATTAACTATTTCTGGTCAAAGAATATTAGCTTCTTTACCAGTAGCGTCTTCTTGAACTTTGCAAACAATCTTTTTTGGATTATTCAACAGAAATATGGTAACTTTACCATGTGTTTGAACTTTTTTTAGCTTAACTCATTTTAATTTAACTATTGAATGACTAAGTATTTGACTTGATCTTTGAGTACATGATATATATATATATATATATATATATATATATATATATATATATATATATATATATATATATATATATATATCATATAACAATTTTACGTAAACAGTAAGCGGTTTTGGTTAAGTGACTTTTTATGATTTTTTAACTTTTAAATTATTCTATAAGCAGTAAGATAAAAGAAGTAATTAATTTTTAAAAAAACCACATTAAACTTTGAATGACGATTGTGTTAAAATATTTGATACTTTAAGCCTTGATACTTGATACTTAAAGCACTGATACTTTAAGCCTTTAAATGGCGATTGTAATAAAGTATTTGTTACAAAAGTTTGAATGACAATTTTTTTTAGATATAATTGCTATTTTCTAATAAAAAAAAACTCAAATAAAATTAAAACTTTTTATTTATTTTTTTTTATTTATTTTTTATTTTATTGTAACGAATCATTTTTTCGCTTGGAAAACAATTTAATTTTGATTTAAAAAGTATATGATTTATTTTTGATTTAAAAATATATTTAAATTTATTAAAATTAAAGTTAATGCTTGGGTTTAATCTAACTGTCAAATTTATTTAAAAATAGTATTTAATATTGTTCAATATTTAAATTTTTTTTATTTTAAAAAAAAAAATAGCTCATTTTTATCGCAATTTGTTTTTTGGTTTTCCTTCCTATAGCTGTTTTTATTACGCAAAATTAAATTTTAAATAAAGGTCTGCATCAAAAATTTGCACAAAACGTAAGTTGAACTTTTTTATTCAGTCGCAACGATTATTTTTAATAAATGATATACGCAATAAATTTTTTTTTTCTTGTTACAGGCTCTAAACATAGTGTATAGTTATTAATAATGATACTATCAAATATGAGAGTGATTGTGATAGGTTTAAAGGGTGCAATTTTATTCAGAAAATTACCGGTTCCCGATTATTTTGGAGAAAAAAAGGGTTCCCAGTCCCAGGTTGACCTACTTTTTTCAAAATTAGGTCAACCTGGGACTGGACAGAAGTAAAATTTTATAAAAAATTTGTTAATAATAATCGTTTTATAAAAATCGTATTGCCGAAGAAAAAAATTATTAAAAAGCTTGTAAAAATCCACTTTTTTTATTTTTAGTTAAAAAAACCATAGTTATTATGCAATAAAATCTAAAATAATAATTTTTATATGAGAAATTTATTATTTTTAAAATTTTTTTTAATTTTCACTTTATTTGAGTACCAACATTACATTATTTTAAAAAACTTTTTTTTTTTTGAAAAATAATAGGGCCTGCTAATTTTTTGTAATTAAAGTTGCGGGTGGAAGACATTATTCAATCCATAAAAGTAAATACTTTCCTAAATTAGTACATAAAAAAACAACTTTCTAGGCCAATTTAACATATTTTAATTCATTTATGCAAATATTGTGTAAAAAAAAAAGTTTGTTAATCTCAAACATTTTTTAAAACGTGATATTAAATTTAATTATTTAATATTAAAACAATTAAAAGATAGTAAACATTCCCTTACATTATTAATAAAAAAGAAGTTAAATAATATTATTATAGTAATTTAAAAAAGTTATGTGTGTGTCTTGCTTATTATTACTTATATTATATTAAAAATTGGTGTCACTCCTTTGATCAGATTTCTGTATGAGTGACACCATCCTAATAAATCATTAACTTATTGTTATATGAATATTAGTTATTATTATTATTTTTTCATTGTAATTATTGTAAACATACTTATTATTACTATTACTATAATTTGTATATTTATTTTTTTTTATCTTATGTTATTATTATATATTTTTGCTATTATTACTATTATTATCATTATTATCAAAACTATTGTAAAATGATTTACGAAAAATAAATAGCTTGTTGTTGTTGTTGTGTTTTTTTTAGTTCAAGATTTCTATAAAAAGAAAAGTAACAATCTAAAATAGTAATAAAACTATTTTAAAAGTTGCAGTGCAAACGTTTGCTTTCCATGTTTTCTTTTATTAAAGTTACAAAAAAACAACAACAACAAATCCTACTTATTAAAATTTAATCAGCTGTAATAGCAATTTAATTAAGAAATAATATATTTATCAAAAAGGGACACGTAATCATAGAATTATTATGCAACAACATCAAGTTCAAATCCAATATAAAATTTTATTTTAATCTGCTATCCAATCTTGTTCTGGTAAAATAATCTTTAATTTTAAAAAAGTCATCACTTATATTAGCAATAAGAGAAAATTTATTATTCTAAATTTGTCATGGTAGGAGTTTCAGTATAAAATGGAGTGCATTTTCTATCGTTGTCATAAATGATAAGTAAAATGTTAGTATTATAAATGATAAGTGAAATGTTAAACTATAGTGAGTTGTTCCAAAAAAATTGAATGTATTCTAAATTTTCGAACTTGTTCTATAAAATTTAATCTATTTGTCCTTCCATGATAATAGACATGATTAAAGGTTATGATTACTTGGTCTTAGGCAACTAACAGCCCACTAACAGGTTTGGTCTTAGGCAACTAACAGCCCTAGATATAATTTGAAAATTAAAATTATAAATTTAATTACTCTGCGAATTAAATTTAAATGTTGGAATGGTTTAAATGTATTTTTTTTTGTTGAGGATTATGTTACCGCTTTTCAATTTGGCCCTATGCTAATAAAACCATGGTGATAGTGATTTATAAACACAAAAAATAAAATTTTATGTGTATTTAGGTTTTATGAATTGTTTATTTAAAATAAATTAAATTTATGTATAATTCAATTTTATGTAATTGTTTAGTAAAATGGAGATTAAATGTTTTTAGAATTAAAGAAAGCTCTATATGCTATTTTTACGCAATTTGGCAGTATCTTGGATGTTGTTGCTATGAAGACATTAAAAATGCGTGGTCAAGCATTTGTAGTTTTTAAAGACATACCAAGTGCAACTAATGCTTTACGTTCAATGCAAGGTTTTCCATTTTATGATAAGCCAATGGTGAATGATATTTTTTGCTCTAGTTTTTTACTTATTTCTTTTTTGTTGTTACATATTATTATTATATAATATTATATAATATATCAATGCTTAGTTATCATAAAAAAATCAACTCCACTTCACCAATTAGAGTATGGATGCTCAGTGACGGATCCAGCATATTTTGCTGTTTGAGATAACTTCCAGATATTTATTGTTTATTTTTTATATTTAGTACAATCTCTTAGCGTTCAAAAATTATGATCATATAAAATTTGTAACCCCCTTAAATTGAGGGGGGTTTAAACTTTTTATTGGTTGTAATTTTTAAACGCTGAGAGATAATATTATGAACTTAAAATTTATCAATTAATATAAATTTAGTTGAGAATAGCAAAAAAATTATTTTATCAACTTGTTGGTCTCACATTTGGGACAGGGGATAAAATTTAAGGTTTTTTTTTGCTAAGTATCATTTGACATAAGTATAAACATACAAATAGAGTTAGTACCATGTCAGGATGGCGCTATCAAAAAATTCTGGATCCATCACTCTGCTTGCTGCTGAGTTTTGCTGTCATTTCTCTTCTTTTTTTTTCTAGGTCTTTTTTTTTCTTTCAATTTTTTTCTTTTAATTTTTTTTCTTTTTTTTTCTTTTAATTTTTGTGAGTTTTTTGTCATTTTTTTATTTTTTGTTGCATTTTTTATAAATGTTTTTTTAAAACATATTTGGATTAAGTTAAGGTCAAAGCAAAAGTAAAAGCAACCGTTGCGCAGTGGTAGCACACTTGCCTCAGAAACAAAGGATCCATGGTTCAAACCTCTCCTCTGGGCAAGTTTTGCGACATAAGTTAGGAAGGAGGCGTGAACTTCCTATTAATTGCTCATCTGTGGTGCTCATTGATGAGACCATAAAAACTTCTCAAGGCACCAAATTTAAAAAAAGGTCAGAGTGTTGTGAATGTAAATATGTGTATTGCGACTATTTACAAATAATAACTTATTAATAAAGGAATACTTGAAAAAATAAGTGTAGCAAAAACCTATATTAAACAAAAGATCTTGAAAATGATGACAAAAATGCATATCTAGAGTTTCAGAGAATGCTAAATGAAGCGACAAAATCTATGCATCTAAAATAATAAAACAAATTTTTAAAGTCACAGTGCTAAGTTTGTTCTGCATTTTCTATTATTAATTAGAACATAAGAAAATAAGAAAATTGTTCTAGTGTAAACAGGTATTTTAAATGCTTCCAATAAAAACTTAAAAATGTCATTTCAACAAAAAAAAAAAAAAATTTCTACAAAAAAATTTTTAAACATTAAGAGATAAAGTAATTTAACTAAATTTGCCCAAAAAATAAAACTTTGACAGTTTTTGTTAGAGGGATCTGAAACTCCCAACACATGTTGTGTTCATATTAAAGATGATGTTAAAAAAAAAGGTTTGAACCAAGTTTTTTTGATTAAAAATAAATAATGAATGTATACGGAGAAAAACAAATGTTGTTGTTTTAGCCAAAGCTCGCCTTCTCCATTTTTTTCAATAACTCGAGTCTTTAAATTATACGTCGCAATCTACAGACTTGGACGATTCCTTTGAAGCGTGTTTAATTCATAAAAGTTTTAGCATTTGATGTCACGGTAGATTTTTAACAAAAGAAAAGTGTAATTAAACAAAGCTGCGTTTTTCTACTTTAATTCAAAAAGTAGGATGTAGTAATTTTTTAACATACAGCAAAACAACTTTTACAACAAATTTTTGTAAAAATCAAAAATAATCAAAGCTTTTTATTTCATAGGAAGAGCTTTTTTTTTACCGATATCTTAATAATTTTTAGATTTATATATCTTACTTATAATTCTTTTGTTTTTAAATTAAAACAAGTATTAAAGCTTTACTTACGAATCTTATGATTTTCATACAAGTGTTTAACATTATATAGAACGTTATGTATACGGTCTCTTATTTTTGTGCAAGAGAGCGCAGTATTATATATTCTGAATCTTACTTATTTTTATTTAAACAATGGGAACTATTTTAAAACTTCTCTGGTTATTTTTACGCTATGATATTTTTTGTTTTAATTAGTATTAATTAGAGATATTTGATGAATTGTTAACTTTTTTTATTATAAACATTTTAAAATGTTGGCAACTCCATACCAATCAGAACCTGTTAAGATTATGAAAAAAAAGTACAAGAATACACTAAACAATACAGTTGACAGTAGTATCAGATATGAAAATTCGTGAAAGGATATGTGAGATCCTGGTTTTGCATTTAAAATACAATTAATAGTAAGTAGAGATAAAATTAAATAAGAAATAAATCAACAATGAACAAAGCAACTAACTGATTAATCTGGGACTATTTTGATATTAATGAAAATAATCAACATAAACAACATTACCAACTACAATTATCAAATAAACAACACAATATCTCATAATTTTAGGGGCTTTTTATTTTCATTGCTTAGTCGTTCTAAATAATTAGTAGATTTAGTTTAAGTTAATATTTCAATATTTGCAGTTGCAATATAATAAAGAAATGATGTTTAATGTTGAACTTTTTATTTAGTTATTTATTACCTACATTTGTTATAAAAAACTTTCAAACCCCCAACATTAAAACAATTTGTTTTAAATATATTTCAAAGTGATTATTAAAACTAATTTTTTTCGTTTGACTTTCTGAACTTCATGCAAAGCAAGTTGAGACAAAATATTGTCATCAAATAAAAATGCTGTTACTAATTTTATACAGGTAATTAATGTAAAACAATTTTTATCAGAGTCTTGATTGAGATAATAAATATTTATAGTTTATAAACATTAAATGTATGGCACAATAACAATTTATAGCAACAAACCAGCATAAAATATTTGAGGTTTTTATTATCATTTAAATAATGTTAAAAATAGAAAGAAAAAAAACCAAACAAATAATCAAAAAAAGTTCGAATAAAAATAAATAAAAATATTTCCAGAGTTTCATTTGTTAATAGTCTACCGTGACGACAAATACTGAAACTTTTATGAATTAAACGTGGTTCAAAGAAATGGCAAAAGTCTGTAGATTGCGACGTATAATTTAAAGACTTCAAGTTATTGAAAAAAAATGGAGAAGGCGAGCTTCGGCTAAAACAACAACATTAGTTTTTCTCGGTATGCATTCATTTTTTATTTTTAATCAAAAAAACTTGGTTCAAACTTTTTTTTTAACATTATCATTAATATGAACTCAACATGTGTTAGGAGTTTGGGATCCCTTTAAGAAACGCAACTCGTTTTTTTCGTAAATGTCAAAAGCATTCAGTTAAGTGAAAACTTTTTTTTTATGGAATATTTAAATTATCTTTTAGCATCATTTATATATCAGAAACTTTTATTATATCAGAAAATATTAGGTCATAAAAAAAGCATTTAACTGAAACTGAGAATTTTTTAAAGAAACAATTTGTTTTATAAAAAAAAGTTAATTTTAGAAGACTTTAAATGTGATTTTAAAAATTTAAATTTAGTTTTGAAGGAGAAATTTAAAATAGTTTCCAATTTTTATTAAAAAGTTTTTTTCTAAACGTCTGCTAACTAATTCATTACATAAAATATGTATCTCCATCATCTCCATAAAAAGAGAGAGGTACTTTGGTTTAAGAGAATTCTTTTCGCAAATTTTTAAAAGTCTTAGAGAAGTTTTTATATAATTAAGTTAAGTAAAAACATCTATTTATAGTACATAAACTTATAAAATTCTTTATAATATAGTACAATATCTTTGGGGATTATATATACCCTTGTTATTCAAGTAATATAAAAAGCCGTTAAAAAATTAACAAATAATAAAACATCAATATAATCTATTCTTGTGTCTTACATTTATAATGACAATATGGCGTAATCACCGTTATCTTCATTCAAACCACCTTCATTTGGAGAACACTGGTGTTACTGTATTTCCAATGACTCTCACTTTTCTCTTAAAATAGTCTGTCTCTACTTCAAACAGGTTGTTTTTATTCCAACCAATGACATGACACATGGTGACCACAGTCCTGGAATGTCCTGGATTTTTGCAAGTGTCCTGGAATGTCCTGAAATGTCCTGGAAAATTAAATTTTTTTCATAAATGTCTTGAAATGTCCTGGAACTTTTTTTTTTTTTTGAGTCAAGTTAAAAAATTACTAATAATATTGAAGTAATATTAAATTTTTTAAGCGAAATTTTTTTTTATATAAATGGTTTGAATTTAATTTTAAATAAGAGAGTAATAATAATATAATAATATAATATTCTATTCTATAATTCAATCAATATGAAAAAAATATACCGTAAAAATAATTGATAATATTCATTTAATCAGATATAAATTGTCCAGGAAAACGCAACAAAATGTCCTGGAGTGTCCTAGAAATGTCCTGGAATTTAACTTTTAAAATTTTGTGGCCACCATGATGACAGTCTCTGGAATTACATTTTTAAATATCTTATTTAATGCATTATGACAGTCTCTTGAATGCATTTTTAAATATCTTTTTTAATTGAATACTTAATTTTGGTAATATTTTTTTTGTTTCTTATTAAATCACTATGTTTAATATGTTAATGAAAATAAATTACGTTTACAAATATCTTTTGGTAACTGATAAAATCTACCTATAAATTGTTTACTATCTTTATTAAAAATGCTACATTAAATACATAAAAATTAAAGCAAATAAATTATGATAAACGAACCAAAGATTATATTAAGTAAATTGTTTTAATAAAATAAATTATGAGGAAATATAATCTTTTTCAAATAGCAAATTTAGATTCTAATAATTATTTTTGTTAAATTAGTTTAAATAATTTTTAGCATGGTTTAAAATTAAATTTAATTACAATGCGATACTTCAAAATATTTTCAAAATATCAATAGTTTTCAGGCTCCTGTACAATTAAGATTTTTATAATTACAACACATTAAAATTTGTATTTGTAATTTTTGTTTTTACATATTTGTCATTACTTTGTTGTTGTAAATAAAAACGCATATTTTTTTCGATAAACTAAGCTTTCAATTCAAATTAAAAAATAATGGTGAAAGTAGAAAAGTGAATGTTATCAATAGTTTAAAATAATACTTTTGTTTACGCAAATTATTTCTAGTCTACATTTAGCCCTATAATGAAAAAAGACTAGATGTTAAAAGAAATCCCCTGAATGCGAAAACTTTTATAAAAAGTAGCAATGGGCAACTCAAAAATTTGGCAGGCAACCAAAATTAACAAACTTGTTACTTTCAGTCGCCCTTCTGATGACTGACCTGGTCTGAGTGTACACCCCTGACCTGGTATAAAGATTGCCTATACTCTGTACTGGGTTTAAGCCCACATAGATTAAGGGCAATACAGGTGAGTAGTGCAATTTTTAAAAGTGCTAAAACTTGTAGAAGTAAAGAAATATTAAGTAAATAAAAATTGGTTTAAAAGGAAAAAGTGAAATGGATAGATTAATTAAGTATTCAATTAATCAAATTAGTTGGAAAAAATCAAAAAAACTGTGTGGCAGTAAAGGTAAGATTACTTGAGCTTCTTGTTGAGTTATTTTGAACCTTATTATGTAGAGATTAGTTATGTTAATTTATTTTATATTATAAAGAACTTTTTATTGCATGTTGAACAACAAAAATCTCTAAATGATCTGTCATTTTTCTACTTAAAGTACATTCTTTTTTTATTTCAACTTACTTTTTAACTTGAGTAGTTGCTTGACAATCTTTGTACATTGTAAAGTTTGAATGTAAATTTATGAAACGCTGTTTCGTATTAAAAACTTATTATTTATGTTTTAGCTATTCAAATTAAGGTGATTTAAGTTTGATAGGTTTATTTTTTGCTTTAATTACTTATTTTGTATTTAGAGGATAGCTTACTGCCGCTCTAAATCAGATGCTGTAGCAAAGTTGGAAAATACATTTGTTCCACGCGATAAAAAACTAAAAAGAAAAGTTGATGAAAGTTAGTATTTATTTAAATTAAGATATTTTTGTTGTTTTATTTTTATAACTTTCGGTTTTTCAGAAAGAAGAAAAAGTTTGTGTATATATATATATATATATATATATATATATATATATATATATATATATATATATATATATATATCAGGCTTGATCGGGAAGCGGGTGCGATCACACTCGATAACTGACCACGGAAATAATATTTAGTTGCGAAAAACCGGCCAGATTTTTTACTCGTTTTGAGAACATTTAAGTTTTTGTTTGTTTCCTTGTTTGTCCGCAAAATAATAAGTTCATTTTATCGTAAATTTTAAAATGTTTTGTTTTATGGATTTACATGGAAATATACATAAACTTGAATGTTCTCAAACATCTTAGTACGGAAAAATAAAAAAAGAATATTCGCGAACACAAAAAACCGCCAAATCTACGAACAACTAATTTTATTGGTTCAAAAAATACTAACTGAAATTTCTAGAGTATTCAAAAAATACTAACCAAATGTCCTGATTATTCTGTTGAAATATTTAAAAAAAATTGTATTTAATTTATTTATAATTTATATAATTTATAATTGTATTTAATATATATTTTGTTACGTTTTTGTTGAGATTTCTAGCATAAATTATTTTAAGAATATACTATCAAACCAACTATTATTTTAATTCTTGGAGCCACATCTACAAAGCTAAAATGTTTTAAACTAACATTATTTGTTTACAATAATGTTTTAACTTTATATTTTTTAACTTGTCAACGTTTTGTAAATATATTATAGATTTTATTAGTATATTCTAAGTTTTTATATATAAGGGATGTATTTTTTATGTATGTAATGTATTTTTATGTATGTAAAGTATTTTTATTTATGTAATGTATTTTTATGTATGTAATGTATTTTTATGTATGTATTTTTTATGTATGTAGTTTTATGTATGTGTATTTTATTCAAATGTAATCTTTTAAAGCAATATGTGCGATTGATTTTGTAAACAAAAATACTTTCAATAATAACTGCGTTTTTAATGAAATTATTAATAATCATCAAAGTTAATACAAATAATTTTAACCACTAATCCATATTCTTCATAACTACCTACCCGATAACTCATTCTTTCTCCCAAGAAAGAAAAGTTTTTAAGTTCTTAGAAATTGGTTTACTAACTTCAATTATTTTTGCTTCAGCCATTCTTACAAACTGGTTATACTTTATACAAGTTTAAACTCGTTATACGACTTAAAACTCGTTATACGACTTAAAACTCGTTATACGACTTAAAACTCGTTATACGACTTAAAACTCGTTATACGACTTAAAACTCGTTATACTTTATACGTTATACTCATTATATGAGTTACTTTTTCTGTTTTAAATACTAATTAAAATTATAAAGCCCATTTACTAAGACATCATCAGCAGTATTGTGAAGCAGTTCTGCTTCCTCCTCACAAAGTAATTTAACGTTTTTTTTAATTTCTATCTAGCTAATTGAATTTCTACAGTAACTCGATGATTTAATTATTTTATTTGTTCATCTTACGAAGAAGAATTATTTCAAATATCTTAAACTTTTTAAACTATGCGAAGCATAATACAGTTATTAAAAAAACTTTTTTATAAATAAATAATTTGGTTGAATCTTGATGGACTTTTCAGGGCCGGAGGCTGCATTATTTATGCTGCCTTTTTTATGTGCCACAGCGTAAAAATGACTAAAAAAATACCAAATGGTCCTCTTGACTATTTCCCTTAACATTGTGAGTCCCAGGGCTATAGCCCTACTACCCCCACCCCACTTCCTCAATCCAGCACTGGAAATAAGACATAAGTATATAAATAAAAATTATATATACTCTTTGATAAGTCGAAGAACATTTGTTTTTTTATAGTTGTTACTTCGTATGAAAAATGTCGCTTAATTTTATAAAAAAAATTATAAAAGAGCGATGTTTCAAAAATAATTGCTCTAATACATTTATTTTGCTTAAAGTTTTTTCACGTTAAAAGCTATTTTTCTTTTTTTAACTGTCTCTTATTGGTCCAGTTAATCTTATTGCGCTTTTTTGTTTGTTTTTGAAATGTTCTCAAAACAACTAAAAAATCTGGCCGGTTTTTCGCAACTAAATAATATTTCCGTGGTCAATTATCGAGTGCGATCGCACCCGCTTCCCAACCAAGCCTGATATATATATATTCTCATTTTATATATAAAATATTTTTATATAAATAAGAAAAAAGCTTGTTCTAAAAATTTAGAAATAAGAATAGCACAGAACTATACTATACTATTATATCTTTAGACATAATAAAAACTTTATGAGACTTAATAGTTATATTATTATACTTAGACTTATATCTTATACTGCTGATTTAGGTGAGCAGTGTGACATCATACTGAAATAGCCTGACTCGCAGCAGAGTGCTGCTACATTGACTGAGGGTTTGGCATGGGGCAGCAATCTTTTCATTAATTATTCTTTGTTTTTTTCTTCTTTTTCTAAAAAAAACGTATCGATTTAATAGGCAAAAAAAGTTCTTACATAAATTCTTACATAAATATGCTATAGTAGATGGGCCTAGTATACTATTAATTCCATAAGTTAACAAATTATAAATTCTAATGTTAATAAAGTTCATTATTATTATAAAAAAGGAAAAATAAATTATCATTTTTGTTAGCCTAACATTAAAACAATAACTATAACAAAAATTACTAATAAAATCTAAATTCATTATTTAAAAAAATTATATTTGTTTATTGTTTGTTTAAAATTATTTTATGCATAGCATAATAATCTTTTGTTTGTGTTATCACAATTTAGTTTTTTTTTGTTTTTGTTTGTTTGTTTTTACGTATTTAATGCACTATTTTTAATAATGGTAAATAATTAATAGATATATTTTATCAGTTACCAATATTAAATTTGTAAACAGTATTGTGTTAATAAATAAAACTTATGTCATTTGAGCTTAACATGATTTTAAATTCATAAGATATAAAAAGTTCTGATTCCATTATTGAAAAAAATTATTTTAAACAAAAACAATTCTTTTCTCTTAAAATAAAAAAAAATTATGGTTGCTTTTACACATTTTAATCTATGACTTATAAAATCTTAGGGTTTTTGCTTAATAAATTAGTTTGCTAATATAAAGAAAATATTCAAAATACCTTTTGTGAACACTGGGTAAAACACGCTGTTTTTTAAAATCCATTTATATATATATATATATATATATATATATATATATATATATATATATATATATATATATATATATATATATATATGTAGTGCAACTCTGGCTCCAGCTCCAAAGCAAAATTTTTGAAAAAAAACTCTTTGAATTCATTAGTTTTTTTTTTTTTTTTAACCATGCGGTAAGATTGCATTGAGTCTGGCAAATATGTTTTGTTCAGAAGTGGTCAAAATTAAATGTTACGACTGTCACGCTACGCTGAGTTGATTTTTTTCTTTTATGTTTTAGAATTCAATTCTTTAAATTTTGTATACTGTAAATTTTGTAGCAACTATGTAAGTTTTGCAATTCTATGACAGTATTTCAAATTTCTGGAAAGTCATTTCCATTTTTGGTTTATTTTTAACACTCTGTAATGAAGCACTACATATCTCATATTTCAGTATAGGTTTTTTCTTAATTTATTTATTACATTATACAAATGCTCAAACATTTAACTTTTGTATTTTTCTGAGTATTGATTTGTATCAGCTTTTATGTGTTTTATTAAGTCAAAAATTTTACATAAAAATTATAAACACATTTCTTAAAAACCAGTCTTGAAAACAAAAACATGTTTATTTTAAAGACTTTTTTGAAAAACCAAAAACTCTGTATTGCATCTAATTATGAGTTGAGTAGTTATATTATAATTACACCAATGGTTTGTGTTTAACATTGTGGCATAGTTTAAATTTTAAAAATTCAAACAAATTTTTAAAAATTTTATGTTTATTTTAGTTTCATTACTAATTTTTTTCACATAACTTTTAAACTAGCCAAGAAGAAACCAGCGAAGCAATTGAGACAGAGTGTACCTATTATTCCACAATCTATGCCAGGTAAGATTTAAATATTACTCTTATGTTATAGTTATATATTTTTATATATTTTATATAATATTTTTGTTATCAAAAAATGTTTGTTAATTCTTACATACATTTTAGGACATATGCAAATGCAAATGCCTGAAATTCCTAACCAGATTCTTTTTCTTTCTGAGCTGCCTGATGAAACAACTGAAATTATGTTAGCTATGCTTTTTCAACAGTAAGTGAGAGTTTAATAAAAACTTAATTAAAAATTAACTATATAAAAATTAAATCATATATATATATATATATATATATACACACACACACACAAGTTTAATCTATTAAAGATGGTTTACATTAAAAATTAGTAGATCAATATTTCCTTTACTCAGATTTGATCTTAAGTAACATTTTTTACAATTTTTTTTTTTTTTGAGTTTTTTATCAATATAACATTTACTCAGTCAATAATCAACATTTGACTACTGTTGCTCTCAATGCAACTGAGGCCTGGTACACGTTTTTCCAAACAAAAATGTAAGTTTTTTCAATTACAATATATTCAAGTTTTTTCATCAAAAAGTATGACATATTTGGAATGTATGGAAAGATTATTTTAACCACTATTATAATTTGGTAAAAGTAATGAGACTATAACATATTTTCAAACATAGTTTTATTTAGAAAAGATGCAATTTTCAACATAAAGTACCTTGGGACTATAGATAAGTCTATAAATTTGATTTTTTCATAAAAGTACGTATTAGTGTTTGTTTTCAATGAATGTAACTTGACATTTCTAATCAGACATGATTTGATAAAATTATCCGTGAAAATTAACCATTTTTTTATGAAAATTAAAGTTACTATTTTCAATACCACACCTAAATAAGTATGTTTAACAATCTGATGTTAGAATTAGGTTGTGTTAATATGGTAGTGTTAATTTTTCTAATAGAATATGGTAGTGTTAATTTTTCTACCAAAGTTGTTTTTGCATAAATAATTATAACTTTTAGCCCCATTTAAAAAACTGTTTTGGGTATTTAGGATCATTTTTTGAAATACTCGGGCCATCTTGAAATAATAAATTATTTTATTCAGAATGCGTAAACAATTAAAAAACAGAGGTAACAAACTTTATGAATAAATTACTTTTCATACAAATTCTTTGTTTGCATAAATTAAATACCATTAACTAAAAAGTTTTTCGGTTTGCCACTAACAACAAATCGGCTATGTTTTAAATTATCGGCTTTTTTTTTATGAGTTTGTCTATTCTATGCCTTAGTTGCATTGAGCTGTTAGTAGATTTATATGTCGTTTTTTTTTTTTTTTTTTTTTTTTTTTTTTGTAGATTTATATGTCGTTTTTTTTTTTGTAGATTTATATGTCATTTTTTTTTTTGTAGATTTTTATGTAGGTTAATCTGCTATATTTTTAAAAAGTGATCACTTATTAATATCATCTTTAAAAGGCTTAATAGTCAAAAAAATTATTTAATCATATTTATGTTTTATGCAAAAAATATATATATTTGTGTATATATATATATATGTTTTCGATAAAAACCAAATTTGAAGTAATTTACAAAATTTAGATAGTGCCTTTGTAATAGCTTCCTTTACCAGTTAGATTTTAATATTTCTTATATCTTATGCAACTGGGTGCAGTTAGTTTAAAGTATAAATATTAAAGATAATAAATAATAAAGTAGTTAAAAATAATAATAAAAATATAATAATAGTTTGATTGATATTGAAGGAAAATATTTTTAAAACAGGGTTTTTATAAACTTTTAAATTGGGATTTTTTTTTTTTACTATAATCTGATTTGTGTATGTGTTATTAATTAATTACTAATATTATTTATTAAAATAATAATTATAATTCTTTAGGTTACTTTTGTCAAAACGCTATTTTTTTGTAACTCTGCAGTTAACAAATGCGGTAGTGGTGTAGTGATAAAACGCTCGCTTCATAAGTGAGAGGTTCCGAGTTCAATCCCCACCACATCCCTGGTAGTACCGCGCTTAACTTGTTTCTCCGCGCAGCGGCCTTGGCTCGTGTTTTGGAGTTATAGTGTTGAGAGAGGGTTATAACCACTATTAGGTTGTCTCATCATCTGTAGTGGCCTTTTCAGCCTTGAGGAGGTGAATACCTCTAAATAATTTATATACTTATAATTTACTTTTGCTCCTTATTATTTATTTTATCTTTTTAGAAAAAATTTTAATATGAGGTCATATCTATTGATATCATTTTTTTGAAAAGAATTTAAAGTAATTTTTTTTAAAGAGAAGTTTTTAAATCAAAACTATTAAGCACCAAGTAAAATACAATCAATTTTAACAGTTTAACTTCCAAAGGTAAGGTAACTGTAACAGAATATTATCCAAACGTAGGGTAAGTGTGCCAGAATATTAGTTCTAATTATAATAATTAAAAATCTATAAAATCTTCTACTAAAAAGTATAACTATAAATCAGTTAAAAAATTCCAAATAAATTCAATGCTAGATGGTTGATATACTAATATATTAACAGTAAAGCTAATAGCAATCAAAAGATAAATGCACTTGAAATGGAAGAAGATCAATATTAATAGATGAGTGAGATATTGCTAATATTCTAAATAATTATAATATTGTTGTAATTGAAAACCAAAGAAACTTTGAAAGTTTCAAGCTGAAAACAGTCATGTTATAACAATATACATAAAATTGAAGGTACATAAAAAATAATTTATAGTAATGGAGTTCAACTAAAACAAGATTTGGTGTAATAACCAATGAAACTGTAAAAATTTCATGTACAAAAAGTGTTAATTAAGGTGACTTAATAAACCCCCATACTTATAGTGATGATTTTTTGGTTCCAGGAAAATCAAATTCATAATGCATAAAACTAGATTTGTTTATTAGTATTTCTTGAAGAAAAAAGTGTTCTTTAACAAGTTTTAAATCTGTGAAACACAATACAGTGCATTAGGATTTTTACACCACTTAAACTTCCAAACAGTTTCAAAGATATGACTATTAAAGCTTTGCGTTAAATCAACAAAAGTTCATCATTTTGAAAAATGGTTTTGTTCTTTGTTTCTGTTCTGCGTGCAATGAAAAGCTGAAAATGTTTACACTTACATACTTTGGGGAAAGGCACTGGTCAATAAAAAAACCAGTTTATTATTCAATAAATTTGATTTAGTAAGTCAAAACTTGTTTAGTATAGTAATAAAAATTTAATAAAATATTTAAAAATATAACATAAAGTCAGATTATGATTCTAAATTTCCTCATTTAAATTTATCTACTAATGATGATGAAATTTAGTATTTGATTTCATAAAATAACCAAGAAAAGAGAAAGAGCAAGTAATCAACAACAAAAGAACAACTTTATATGGTCGAAGCTGTTCCAGTTTCATTACTGTCAAGTTACTCTCAGGTGCTTAATACAAAATAGGGTGGGAATAAAAGTATGAAAGTGAACTTCAGATTTGATAAACAGAGATGGGAAAGGGAGGGGTGAAGGTAGTCTTAACAGACAGGTGAGTGGGAATTTTTATTTTTCCTATAAGTGAGTTTATATTTTCTAATTTCTATCACCTAAACAGGTCTCAAAAATTAGAAAAAATAACTAAAACTCTAAAATTTAATAAATGGGAGGAGTGGGTCCTTATAAGGTCAGGGTAGGTGGGAAAATTTTTGGAAAATTATTAAACATCAGCTTTTAAGTGTTAAGCATTTGAAAGTTCCACCTTTTTTTTTATTTCATTTTTCATAGTTCCTGTTTTATAAGTTATAAATTTAAGTAAGTTTGACCATGTTTTTTTTTCTTTTCAGGAAAAGACCACTCTCCAATTCTTTGTAATAACTAATTAACTAACTAAATTATTCAGGACGACATCTTAAAAAAAAATCAAGCTTTTTGTAATTAAACTTGCCCCTAGTAAAATTGCAATAAAGGTCAAAATTACAGGTGTTATGTTTATTTTTAAATTTTCTAAACTGTTTTATTGGATTCCTTGCCTCAAAATATGTAAGTGTACACATTTTTAGCTTTCCATTGCACACGGAACAGAAACAAAGGTCAAAGTCTTTTTTCAGAATGGCGGTTTTAGGTAAAGTTTTAATAGTCATATCTTTGAAATCAATTTGAAATTAGATGATGAAATTTTGGGAATGTTCATAACTTGTTAAAACCTTTAACAAGTTATGAACATTGGTGTAAAATCAGAAAAATTTTAGAGACTTACAAGTTGCATTTTATAAAAAAAATTGAATGTTTTTCTCATAGAATCGCCCATTACTATTCCATTTACCTTCTTTTTTTTTAAATTTGATTTTTAATTTTTATAATTAAGTTAATATTATCTTAATTGAGCAAATTTTTTTTATATCTTTGTATTATTATTTGGAGTTTAACAATAGAGAAAAATTTAAGTATTTGTTCTGCCATGAGAAATGTTAAGTGCCAACAAGTTTTCATATCTTGAATCGAATGAATAGTGTGTTTTCTTATTACACTTTGTTGCATCTCATTTTGTTCTAATAAATTGTATACTGAAAAATGATTTAAAGATGTAACAGTTAATACGAACTTGGTTATTCTTTTTGCTATCTATTGAATTTTGTACTACTAATCGCAAAACATTTCCTGTTCTTATTGAGCGAATGTTTAAACAAATTTAGCTGCACACATTACATTGTTGTCTAATGCTTAATATTTTGTCACCCACTTGTTCAATTTGTCAAAGATTTTTTAGTAAAACCTCTAATATTATGTATCAAAGCATCCATTAAGATATGCAAAATAAACAAACAAAATGATGAAATTTGTTTTATCAGAAATGTCTATCAGATACTTCAATTGTTAAATTTTTCCTTGGTATAATTATTAGAGTTGCATTATTGTTTCATGTTTAAGATAATAGTTTAAAGTTTCTTTGTTGTTTTACTTTGTTGTTTTACTTGTTTTATAATTGTTACTGTTAGATTGCTTACGTATGTATCATTTATTGTTTTTATTAATTATCTGTTTGATGTTTTATCTTCCATTGAGTAATTGTTTTTGTTGTTTCTTGAAATGGCTGTGTATCGTTTTCCATTTTCTTTTAAAATGAAAAACTTGAATTTGTTTTGTCATGGTTATCAGGAATTTTGTACACCCAGTTTGATTGTCCAATATTTTCATTCAGTCATTATCAGCAATGGAATTTTGTTTATCTATTGATTTTTTTTTTGTTTAAAATTTTTTTTATTGTTCTATTGGAGATTTATTTTTAGTCATTTCTTAAAGTTTGTATTCTTAGAAATTTAATTAACTTAATTATGAAAATTTAATTGATTAAAAGGCATCCCTTAAAGTTTGTTAAATTAATCTAATGTAATATTTAGATACTATTAAAATTTGTTTTCTTATGGTTCTTTTCTTAAATTATTTTGTTAGCTGAACTAGATAAAAAAAATTGCTATTGTTTTATATCAAATTTTTATTTAATATTGTTTTAATAACTAATTTTGAAGAACAACGCAATCAATTCAAAAATTATTAACAAAATGCTACACATCTATTATTCTAAATATTAACATTACAAGCACTGAATAAGAACTAATTAGGGCATATTTAACCAAATCAATTACCAAAGAGTTTATTTTTGGGATTCCCTTTTGATGGGGTAAGTTATTAAACCCTAACCCTGCCGCGAAGCTCATTTGTACACATCACTGGCTAAATATACTAGCTAAAATACACAATAAACTAGCTTTTTAAAAAAAAAAAAAAAAATTATTTTTAATATAAAAAGGAAAAGAAAAACAACAAGAAATTATTATTTTGAGGCATTTTTTCGGCGCCCTTACCGGCCCTATGGTCATGAACTATCTTTTTTCGGATATTTCCGGATAATTTTTTCAACTTTTAGTTTTTCCAGATATATAAAACATTTTCCATAGATACAAGTTAAGGTGTATATTTTTGAAAATATATTTGTTTTTTAAGTTTTTTTCTCGTCACTCATAAGAAAATTATGAAAAGTTAAAAAAAAATTAAAAGCAACTCAACTAAAAGCAAAATTAAAAGGAAAATAAAGGAAAACAAATTCCGGGTTTTTTTCGGATGTTTTATATAAACAATTTTCCAGATTTTCAAAATATGACCTGGATGATCTATGTATGGTAGCAAAAAGATTCTGGGTCACCTCTGCTTAGATCATGCAGGAAGTTAAAACAAAATACTTTATAGATAAATAGTTTAGCATAAAGTTTCACATTAATAAAACAATAGAAGTGCTAAACTAAAGTATTTTGTTTAGCACTTTTAACTTTTTGTTTTAACATTTTCACCTCCCATACCCTAGGGTATAAGAAAACATAATAATTGACAAATTTTTTTTCAGTAGTCTTGTTTTATCACATAATTGACTTGAATCAACAACAATTTTATTTGCTATAGGGAATGACAGTTTTATTAGATAAAGAAATTGCTTCAATAAATTCAAAAAATACTAATGATTGCATTCTAGTTTATTTGAAACTATTTATAAACAAAATTCAAATTGTCAGAAATATAAGGAACATTTTGAAAACATAAACACAAGTTCAGCAACTTTTCCATAACATGAAAAAAGCATTATTGCTGTATGACTATCTAGTCAATATAAATCTAATTCGTAACTTCGATACGTACAGTTTCAGTTGTATTAACATAATAAAAGTTGAGTTTGAATTAAAATCCACTTGTTTTCATTAGTTTTTTTCAGTGATATTTTAGATAGAGAATTAATGGTACCATTTTTGTACGAATGAAAACATTCTTTTATTTGATGGATAGAGTAAAGTTAACTCTGTGAATTAGGTACAGTATAGAAAAGTTAGTGAATCAATTGCAGTATAGAAAAGTTTGACTTAGTGAGACATAGTATTGATTAAATCACAGCAACAAGTATTGTAGTTTTCAAGACACCAAATACAATCTAATAGCTGCAACCAATGTGAACAATCTAATAGCTGCAACCAGTGTGAACAATCTAATAGCTGCAACCAGTGTGAACAATCTAATAGCTGCAACCAGTGTGAACAATCTAATAGCTGCAACCAGTGTGAACAATCTAATAGCTGCAACCAGTGTGAACAATCTAATAGCTGCAACCAGTGTGAACAATCTAATAGCTGCAACCAGTGTGAACAATCTAATAGCTGCAACCAGTGTGAACAATCTAATAGCTGCAACCAGTGTGAACAATCTAATAGCTGCAACCAATGTGAACAATCTAATAGCTGCAACCAGTGTGAACAATCTAATAGCTGCAACCAGTGTGAACAATCTAATAGCTGCAACCAGTGTGAACAATCTAATAGCTGCAACCAGTGTGAACAATCTAATAGCTGCAACCAATGTGAACAATCTAATAGCTGCAACCAATGTGAACAATCTAATAGCTGCAACCAGTGTGAACAATCTAATAGCTGCAACCAGTGTGAACAATCTAATAGCTGCAACCAGTGTGAACAATCTAATAGCTACAACCAGTGTGAACAATCTAATAGCTACAACCAGTGTGAACAATCTAATAGCTGCAACCAGTGTGAACAATCTAATAGCTGCAACCAGTGTGAACAATCTAATAGCTACAACCAGTGTGAACAATCTAATAGCTGCAACCAGTGTGAACAATCTAATAGCTGCAACCAGTGTGAACAATCTAATAGCTACAACCAGTGTGAACAATCTAATAGCTGCAACCAGTGTGAACAATCTAATAGCTACAACTAGTGTGAACAATGTGCTGTCATCTTAAGAATTGAAATACTATTTCAACAGCAACAGATAATTCTACTGAATTGTGAAAAGCACTATCATTCTATTCGGACTAACTGGTGTATCAAAGACTTTTTATGTAATTCATGCTCTTTGCAATAACAAACAACAAAAATGAGATTTTATATAGAAATACAAAATAAAAGATCTACCAAAACAATTTAAACTATTACAGAATATGTTTATTATTTGCAAATAACAATATTATTTACCAAGAAATCAGGCTTTGAATAATAATGCTTTTTTTTATTGATTTAAGTTATCCATATAAATTAATAATATCTCTTGATAATTGAAATAATTAACAACAGAGCATTATTATTCAAAATTGTCTTAATATTGTAAATACCTCCGGGTAATTGAAATCATCTAAAAACATAGCATCATTATTTAAAGTATGTTTAACATTAAGGTTATAATACTTTGTTACTTCAATAGCCTGATTACTCAGAGGTAATTTTAGCAATATTGTGTTATGAAATTGCTTTGTTCTCATTTATGAATAATTTTTTTTTACAATAATACTATTGTATATATTTAAAATACAATAATATTATTGTATATATTTTTGTATATTATAATATAGATAGTATAATATAGATACAACCATAAGATAATATAGTATGGATACATCATATTGTTTTGAAGTATGACAACTAGTTATTAAGTTAACTTAATTTTATAAGTTGGCATACTACAAAACTATATGATTTATCTATACAGTATGGATATATCATAGTTTTGTAGTATATACCATACTATGGTCGCTCTCCTCGTTTTAGCTAAGCTATGTGAGAGTAAATCATCCATTATATAGATTGTATGTATATTTTTGTAACCTTAAATTTAAGGTGAAAACATGTTTTATTAAACAAGTTTATGTATTACATATATATTTTTGGTAAATAAACTGCTATTGTTTTTGTTGTTAAAAAAATTAACCTGCGTTTTTAAAATGAATAACTTAATGTATAGTAGTATAAAGTTAATGTAAAATTATATTGTATTGGCAATAAAAAACAAAATCTGAAATCTTTTACAATAATAAAAACGCAATTTTTTAGATGATTTAAAGTTACGCTAAACTTAAAATAAAAAATAGCAGACGTAACTTTCTTGCGTATAGTTTGCTGAGCACTTTTTAGAAAATGTTGTGAATACCGTTTTATAGATTTTTTGCGTAAGTAATAACTTGTGTAAAAACTTAGAAATTTCGTAAGTTTTTGGTTATGCAAGGTTTGTGAATATGATTTTGTAATAAAAAAAGTAAAGTTAAATTAAAATAAACTGCAAAGTTTTATTTTTCGTCATTTTATACCTGCATCTTACTTGATGATTTTTTTTTTTAATAATTTAGATTTGATGGCTACAAAGAGGTTCGGTTAGTACCCGGTCGACACGATATCGCTTTTGTTGAGTTTGAAGAAGCAGAAAAGGCTAGAATTGCCAAAGATACATTAAATGGTTTCAAAATTACACCAACACATGCAATGAAAATAACATTTGCTCGAAAATAATTTTTTTTAATGAAGAAGCTTTTTCGCTAGTTGAGTTGCACCTTATTCAAGTGAAAAAAATGTAAATACTTTCATAAAGCTGTTGCTTGATTATCTAAAACATTTATGTTAGTTGTTAGATGACATAATAAATTGTCTCTGACGTCAACTGACTTTAAAAATTTAATGTTGTTGACGTCAATTAATATAAAAAAAATGTGTTTTGTTTGATTGTAGCATTGCACCTAGCTTCAACGACAACACTTGACTTTTACTTGACACATTTATTTTCAGGTGAACATAACTGATGTTGTATTCTAACTATTCTGTCGTATGCGGATATTTCTATACAGATTAAAGAAAAGATGAGCACAATCGAAAATTTTGTTTTTTTAATCCAATTTTCGTTTTGTATTTAATCTTTTAGTTTACTTAAGCGTCAGCACAGAATTCCAATATTTAGTTTGTCCTGTCACAAAAATGCATTAGTTTTGATTTTAAACTTTGACAACTAAATCTAGAAACTATAAATTGATTTTAGTATTTTTTTCTGATTTCATGTGTCAGCAAATGTAAAAGCATTCCTAAATATGTTTATTGAAAAGTGTAATGTTGCAACATGAATCGGTAACATTTTTTTCGAGACGTTTTTATTCATTTGTGCCTGTCTTGTGTAGAATTTCACGCTAATTGCCATGTAATGCTGGCGCGGGAGGCTGTTTATGCATGTTGCTGCGTTTGTCAATTTGTAGTTTAAAAAGAGTCATACGTTTTCAAGAAACATTTACTGACGGGTATGGTACATGGCTTACTAAATAACAGGCCTTGCCAACGCGCGACTTACGGGGATAGTTTTTTGTAATAATAATTGTTTAACATAAATAATTAACCAAAATAAAACTGATTAATTTTTATTTATTATTTTTTTAATAATTTAATTCTAAGTTAAGTAAATATTTATATATACGCATCAGTTTGAAGTTTGCAAAAAATGTACGATTACAAAACACCTGACAGTATTTAAGGAAGAAAACCCCTCAAAAAATTATTTTCTAAATTAAAGCATTAATGAAGTTATTACATGTTCCAAGTAAAAGTATGGGTCATGGCACCCCCTACCGTGAAGAAAATACCGTGGTTTTTGAAAAAATAAACTTTTTATGCTTTTTTTTTTTTAATTTATTTTTTTAGTATTGTTTTAAACTAACTTATTTCAGTAATAATATATTTTTAATGATTTGAGAGGTTTTTTTAAAAGTTTACGTAATGACTAGATAAGAGAAAAAATTCAAGAGCTTGAATTTTGATGGATGAGAAAAAAAGTCAGACGTTTGATATTCTTAATTTGTACATGTTTGAATCAAAGAATATTGATAAAATGTCTAAATTAACGGAAGTCACTGTTTATCCAAAGACAATTGAAAAACAAAAGGTTATCATTTGTTTGCAAGTGTTTTGTGAAACATTAGCAGCATTAAAAAGTCATCCAGACCTGCATGAAGTGGAAAATTTGTAACGTTCACAGTCCATATGCAGACATTTATTTGAAAGATTCTAACAAATCCGTTCTTGCTTCTACTGATGATAAGAATTTAAGCAAATTTTCTGCAATTGGTGATTTTGCAATTCAAATGAGAAAAAAGGAAAAAGAATCAAGTTATTAACTAAAGATACTGCTAACTATTTAGCTCACACCTGTTATGACTTGGTTCAGCTGTCAAAATACCTTTTAGGTACAACTCATCAGTATGTGTTATCCATTAGGATTCATTAGGAAAGTTCTTTGAAAAATTAATGAAAAAACAAGGCTCAGAAGGAATTTATTTTATTTCTGTTCAACAAGTTCTTGAATAAGTAATTATTCAATAAGTATATATTGTACAAAGTTACTATTAAAGCCTGAGAATAGCTCAGATGTGTTAATCAATCTTGGTTCAGATCACTCTTGTCGCTTTATCAAGCGAGGATATTTGCAACATTATTGATAATTTACCTGCTTTTGGCGACTCATTGACTGTCGATATTAAAATGTCATTAGTATATATTGCTGGGTACATTATTTGTAAAGATGAAAATCAAGATGACACTTTTTATTTCTAGAAAGCATATGGCGATTTTCAATAGGATATAATTAAAGGAGGTTTAATTATTCCTGGTGACAAAGTCTGCCAATCGGCAACTTACTGTTACATTCTTTTTAATGAAGTATATAATGACTATTCATAGTGACATTCATCACTATGTAACCTCCTTATGATGATATCAGAATACTAATCATTAGGTATGGAAAGACATCATGGATTAACACTGACAAATATTTTATTAAATAATTATTGTCGACTCTATTCACCTCGTTCAATTAAGAAGCCACAACAGAAGCTGATAAAACTCAGCACAAATTAAAATGTTTGCAATATTTTAAATAAAAACTGTAAAAAAGATTGTGTTTTGTAAAGTATGTTTATAAATTGAATTTACGTTTATTTTACTCTACAAAAGTTTTATTTTTGTATGGATATCTTTTTTCTAAAAAATTTCTTTTAAAAAACCCACTAATAAATTTTGTGGTTAAAGCTGGAAATAAGTTTTAGCAATTTATAAATTTCACTTTACTTACAAAATCGTTAAAACACAATTAAGTTAAAGAATAAAGATTAATAAATTAATTTTTTTACTTTTTATAAATTACTTTTAATAGATATATCATACAAAATCAATATTCAGGCAAAATTCACTTAACTGAAAAATGTAAACTGCTAGAAAATATTTTAAACTTACCTCCAGTTTTTTACGCAAGCCGCACATTGGCAAGACCTGTTATTTAGTAAGCCATGATATGGTATGTTCCAGATGAATCCACTAATTCTATAATAATTTTGTTTTTAAGCTTAAATTTTGAAAAGCTGATGCTCATAAAGACAAAAATATTAGTCGAAAAAGAGTAATATTTTTTATAAACGCATAAATAAGGAGCCCATCTGCAAAATGCGCTAAGTCACAAAAATAAAAAAATTGAGTTAACTACATTTCTCCATTTTATTTACTGAAATCTATAATATATTTAAATATTAAATCAAAATAAAGATTTTAAGTCCTAAAAATATTCAAGGGAAATATCTAAACACGCAAACTCAAACAGGTTTGCAGCTTCAAAACTTATTAAGTCCGCAGCGAATCAAATGGCGTTATGATTTTTTAACAACCAATGAATTATGTGTGTTTATATTAAAATTAGCACACTTTTTGTTGGCGCTTCAGGTCTTATTTAACATATCACTTAATGATTGAAATTACACAAGGTTTTATACCTGTAGAAGAAAAAGCTAGCCACTATCTTATTAAAGGTTATACAAGGAAAAAAAGCAAGTTGAAAGGTAGTATTAATTGTGTATTTTTGTATTATAAATATTCAAGGTTTTATTCAAACCAAATCATATCAATTTTTATATAATATATATATATATATATATATATATATATATATATTATATATATATATATATATATATATATATATATATATATATATATATATATATATATCGTTTTGCATTCATGTTGGCAATAGAATTTTGATAGTGGTTTTAGTCCATGCCTAAAAATAAAAATGTCAACTAATATATATATATATATATATATATATATATATATATATATATATATATATATATATATATATATATATATATATATACATATATATATATATATATATATATATATATATATATATATATATATATATATATATATATATATATATATACATATATATATATATATATATATATATATATATATATATATATATATATATATATATATTTATATATATATATATTAGTTGACATTTTTATTTTTAGGCTTTTACCTTTTTAATGCTCATTTTTATAATGCTATAAAAAAAATGTGACCAAGACAATTTTATATTAAAGTTTTTTGTCTGTTCAGAAAAAATAACGATATAGAAAAAGAGAGCAATTTTATATTAAAAACATTAGGAACAGGTTTAATTGTAAAATTAGTTATTTTATGGAAAAAGAAAACAGACAAATAGTGCGTGTTTGCAAAGACATATTTCTAAAATGCTTACACGTTGGTAAAACTCGTGTTCAAAGTATCGCAAAACATTTCTTAACACATAGTAATCCTAGAAAAGAAAACAGAGGTAGTGATAAAAAAAGGCATAAATTCAAGAATAATCGAAAGGCTGTGATAGAATTTATAAATAGTCTTCCTGGAAAAGAAAGTCATTATAGCAGAAAAAAATCTATAAAACTTTACCCACCATCAGAGCTTAAAAGTATTAAAACAGTATGGAAATTGAATTTTTCAGAAAAATATTTATGCTCAACATTAAATTAGGGTTTGGTTCTCCTAAACGAGATGCATGTTCATTTTGTGAAAGAATTCGAAACCAAACAAAAATTGAAAATGACTCAGAAAAGAAGAACAGTTTAATTACTGATTTAGTTGTTCATAAGCATAGAGCAAATGCATTCTATGATCTTTTAAAAGAAAAATTTTTTTTTTTTATTATTTGCTTTAACCATCAACAAAACCAAGTCATCCCTATAGTTCCAAATCAGCAATCTTATTATGGTAGACAACTTTACATATACAACTTTTGTGTTGTATATGTAAAGTTGTCTACCATAATAAAAATAACGGATCTTTAAATCAAGATAATGTCACTATCTATACTTGGAATGAGAGGGATTTCAAAAAGAATAGTTCTTCCTGTTCCTGTACAGTATTTGAAAAACTCTGCAATACAATAATGGACGGCATAGACACTGTTCGTTTAGTTTCTGATGCATGTGGTGGTCAAAATAATAATATTGCTATGATTTATATGGCAGGCTTCTGGCTGTTAAGACATGTATTAATATTAGTAAAAAAAATTGAGCTTTTGTTTCCTGTTCGAGGACATACATTTTGCCTTGTGACCGTGTATTTGAAACTTTAGAAAAAAAATTGAAAAAAATTGAAAGAATATATTCTCCAGAAGAGCATTATAATGTTTACAGTACCCAGGGAACAGTGAAAATTGCAGTAAGAGACTGGAATGTGTTGGATTTCAAATCAGTACCTTTAAGAGTTTTTAAAAAACCATTGCCAATTAAAATTCTGGAAAATAAACGCTTTTTTAGCACAAGAGGATCGACTAAAAATATTAAAGTCCAAAGAGAACCAAATTTTAAAATTTTTCTTAAGAGTCTCAAATTATAACAAAAAGAGGCCATGATTGTTTATCTTGTCCATCTCCGATACAGAAAGAAGTTCCAGTTGCAGATGCTAAAAAGAAAGATATCAAAAGTTTGATTTTTGTGCATGCAGGAGTGAATTGGGAGCAGGATAATAATTTTAATTTTTTAAACA